GACCATTTTATTGGATTCGATCTGATGATCGCCATGATAACGCAATCGAGGACAAATTGATATCATCTCGTCCTCGCTCGGCGCCCTGTCCTGGCGGCACGTCGCAGTCTCTTCTTCCTCAGCTCATGAGAAATGTCGCATCTTCGAGAAAGAAGTCTGTAGCGTGAAAGTGCATCAAGAAAAGCTTTCATGCAGTTCTTTAGTGTCTGATTCTAACAAAAATGCCCCTTATATCCACTCAAAAGAGCTTGTCGGTCATGTCATTTTTAACGCATGTGATTTGCTGTCTTGCTTTCTCCTTGTGGTGGAGTCAACATGTTGCTCGTCAGTCTGGTGGCGATTGAAGAATACGATACATTCATCTTGATTTGTGAAATGGATGGAAGGCTTGACGAGTTGGTCCAAATTGTGACTTTTCCTTTAAGACATGTTTGTTAGAGATTGACCCTGTGTTTTTGTAGTTAGAGGGAAAAAAAAATCCTGGGACGTTTACACGAATGAAGGACCTTTCAAGTGTTGTGTGTGTGTGGCAATTGAGCATTTCTATCTTATAGAAACAGGCTGGTTTTCGATGTTGAATGCAAGTGGCCTTGGGAAGCAAGAGAAAGGAGGCCGTGTCTTTCAAGCACCTCAGTTTGTCTGCAAAGGGGATTGGAGAAGACTCTCGGATGTTTCCATCATGCCAACACAGAAGTCAAAGAATATCTCAAGGTTAGAGCAGCAATAGATTTTTCTCAGCAATGCGTCAGCCGGAAGAAAAACACCCAGAAAAAAAAAACTATATCAAGTTGTCTCATGAAACACGCATTTCTCACTCTTCGCTGTTTCAAATAAACACGAAGCCCAATAAAAGGTGAAGAATTAGCTGAAAATCGATCAAACGCTTTCCTCCTCCGCCACCTCGTCCAACGCTGCTCACAGGAGATGCGTTTGTCCGAGCGGACGTGGGAGACATGGAGGATTTATGTGATCCTACAAGCCATCAGGTTGAGCAGGGCTTTGCTAAACATGACCTGAAGTGTGCCGGCCCCGGAGCAAACGTTGCTGTCACCTTGGCCCAGGCGAGCTGTCATCTCTCAGAGCGGCCCATGAGACCTGACAGCTGTGGCGTTCCCAAAACAAATCACCGCTGCGTTTGGCAACATTGGGCGTCCCCGCGATTTAGTCCTCGTCCAGACGAGAGCGGGAAAGGCAGCTGCTAATGCACTGCCTAAGTGTTCCGTGTTCATGTTTGTGGGTGCATGTTTGGGCTTGCTTGGTCTTGTTTTCCCGCCATCTCCTTGAATATTTCGATCGAGCGGCGACGTTCACGTCTGCCTTTGTCAATTTCCACGTTCCCTCGTGCTTTTGTTATCACCTGCATCTCTTTGTGTTCAAACTTGAAATGTCTTTTGTGACCCCCCCCCCCTCAAAAAAAAAACCCAACAACTGGATGATAGATCAGCAATCGTAAACGCAATCCAAAAATTCTTATCTGTATGTGTTCATTTATGCATGCACATGTCGCTCTTCAGATTGTCATGAAAGCGTTTTTACTTTGTCGTCGTCCGGGGAGATGCACATCCATCACCCTGACTGCAAGAGCAGAAGCTTTGAGGTGAAAGTTCAAGAGAGTTTTTGTCTTGTGCTGAAAGTGAGGCCTTTTTTATTGATTTCATGCTAAATTTCACGCTCGTGGTGAGCGTTGGTGGTCTGCCCTAAATGTGCTTTTTTTCCCTCCTTCTCAACTCTTTAGTGAACATGTTGTAATGTAGCTGTCACATCTAATGAGCTCACACACAAACACACACACACACACACACACACGCACACACACACGCACACACACACGCACACACACACGCACACACACACGCACACACACACGCACACACACACGCACACACACACGCACACACACACGCACACACACACGCACACACACACGCACACACACACGCACACACACACGCACACACACACGCACACACACACGCACACACACACGCACACACACACGCACACACACACGCACACACACACGCACACACACACGCACACACACACGCACACACACACGCACACACACACGCACACACACACGCACACACACACGCACACACACACGCACACACACACGCACACACACACGCACACACACACGCACACACACACGCACACACACACGCACACACACACGCACACACACACGCACACACACACGCACACACACACGCACACACACACGCACACACACACGCACACACACACGCACACACACACGCACACACACACGCACACACACACGCACACACACACGCACACACACACGCACACACACACGCACACACACACGCACACACACACGCACACACACACGCACACACACACGCACACACACACACACACACACACCACACAAACCTTTTCTCCCCGACACACACACTCAAATCAACCTGTCAGGGAGTGTTTAAACACAGATATTTCTGTGTATTTATTGCTGGGCCGTTTTTAGACATCAAACTGCAGCGGTTGAGATGTGGCTTCTATTGATGTCATTGTCTTTATGTCGCATTCCCTCTTGAGCGATCCTTAGCCTGGTGTGTCTTTCTTTTGCTAAATATACTTCCTCTCCTTGGAGTAGAATTGAAACAATGTCCAGTTTATTTAATTCCCGAGTTGCTGCGACTTTTGGTCCGATTTATTCGGCAATGTCTGCCGAAGCACTTCAAATTTGATGATGCAATTCTTTTAAATTCGTGTTTGGGACCGATATTGGGGCATTGACGGGAATCAAACCCGCCCCATCTGCGCGACAGGCCGCAGCATGTACACCATTATGCTACCGGTGCTTTAAATTCCAAACTAAAACAGTCACGTTACCTTTTATTGGATTTAATAATCTTGAAATGTCGCGGAGGGACCGCATGCACTATGCGTGGCTCTTAACTAGTGCTGCACAATGAAGCGAATTTTAATCGTGATCACGATTTTGGTTGCCACGATTGAATTATCCTAATTTTCAGTGCTATTTACATTGAACCCACCTCGCCCCACCGACGGGGGGTAGAGAGTTGGGTTCCCCGCGACTAAGGGTAAGGTTCCGAGGCGGCCGGGTCGCAATGGCACCGGCGGGGAGAGGCCCCGCAATGCTGGCCGTGGCCCCGCCCTGGACTAGAGTCGGGTAGGCTTCGCGGGTGTTCCGTCGGGTTAAAATGTGAGCTCCTGGATCTCTAATCAGCACTTTCACAACCATTGGTCAGCCAACTACCAGGGGTGGGGTAGAGGGGGCGGGGGCTGCATGGTGAAGGCTTCAATAAGTTGCCTAAATAACAGGTCAAATCCAAGAATATTTATTCAGTTGAACATTGAAAAAAAAATTAATCCTTGGATAAATGTGATTATTTTATATTTTATTCAAACATGATAATCCATTCATTTTCGCGTATTATTTTGCACTGAAAGTGTATTACAGATGTGATTGTATCGCAGTTGTGAGGTAAAAAGATACAGAAGTTTTCCTTTAAATGATGAAACATTCTGATTATTACTGATAATAGTGAGCACATTATTGATCAAAGTAATTGTGGTTATCATTTTGGCCAGAATTGTGCCAGCCCTACTTTCAACCACCTCTCACTTCTGAAAATATGGCTGAGTGGTGAAGTGGTCGTCTCCTAAAAATGTTGTGGGTTTGATCCTCAAACCTCGTGACCGTGTCAGTGTCCTTGAGCAAGACTCTGTACCTTAATTTGCTCCCGGTGGAGCTGGCAGCACCTTGCGTGGCAGCAGCCTTCCATTGGTGCACGAATGTGTGTGTGAATGGGTGAGGCTTGAGGCTTTGCAAAGCGCTTTGGCTAACATATGGTGTAGATAAAATGCTCTATAAGTGCACACTATTTACCGATAAATATTTAATTCAGGACATGTCCGTTCATTAAATGGCATGCGAGCTTTCATAAATGACTGCTTTAGAAGATGGACAGCAGACCATGTGCTGATCGTACGTGAGCGCATGTCATAGTTTTTGGATTTAGCACAAGGTCTATTAAGTGGAACATCTCACAAGGTATGATTACAGTAACATTTTGAGGTATTGTATCCTTCGAATAGTTTGACATGTGCATAAGTACCGGTACTGTATGAATGAACCCATTATACACAGTGAAGGGAATGAACACCGCCGAACTGTGGTGTAGTATGTGGTGTCCTGCCACTACTTTTCATGAGTGGTCACCCATTGGCCATCGCTTTGCTGCAATTCGAAATTTGAATTGCGAATGAGCGACTTAGAAACATAGCAGAAGTTACGGACAGTCAAAAATGCCATGTTGTAGCCGCCGCCAAGCCGTACCAATAAAGTACGTACATTTCGTGCAAGTGTTTCGCAATAATACCTGACTATACTTCTAATCTTACGTGTCTGAGGCTGAAAAAGCGAAGCAAGGAGAATCTCTGTCAACGTAATACCTGAGTGCAGTCAATGAACCGAGCCTACAATCTCTCAAACATCCAGACTATCTCCATTTTTCCCCCCCTCGTTTCCTGTCTTTTTGTTGTTATTATGTAGCTGTAGCCTCCACGGCAATCCGCCTCTTCCTTGACGGTCCCAACCACACATTTTGCGGTGCAATAAAAACACAATGCAGAACAATATATGTGGCGCCTCAAAAAATTGTTACTCAATAAGAACACCAGGAGTTTCATTTTTTCTGTTGCATCGACTTTCTATTTATGCGAGGGTCACTCGCCGAAGTTGCAGATCGTATTTTTTCCATTTTAGTCACGTTTGGTCTGAATTTATCACCCTCAGAACACTTTTTAGCAAAACCTTTTCATTTTTTAATTGTTAGAATTATATATTTGTTTGCTCATAGGCTAGCTCAGAGAAAACATATTTTATGACACCATTAAGTTACCAAATTGAGAAATGTTGTTTCTCATTACCATTATGAGTCGCAATATTGCAGTGAGAAGGAGAGCAGCAGAATTTTACATGAATGCATTTCTTCTTCTCTCAGGATTGTGGAAAAGAGGCTTTTGTTCAGCTACCCAGATGAACAACAGGAAGGAGGACATGGAGATCTCCTCTCACTACCGCCAGCTCCTCCGAGAGCTCAACGAGCAGCGGCAGCACGGTATCCTCTGTGACGCCTGTGTCATTGTGGATGGAAAGATCTTCAAGGCCCACAAGAACGTCCTCCTGGGCTCCTCCCGCTACTTCAAGACTCTTTACTGCCAGGTGAGCTTCTATACTCTGGCTGAAGTCGTGACAAGGGAGCGACTTTTATGTTGCTCCACGATGTCTCGACGATGTAAATAAATACCCCTAATTCTTTCTGCCTCAGGTTAAAAAAGGTTCAGAGCCTCACCTTCAAACTACAGTCACTCACCTGGACATTGTGACGGCGACGGGCTTCAAAGCCATCCTCGACTTTATGTACTCTGCTCACCTCGCCCTAACAAGCAAGAATGTCATTGAGGTCATGTCGGCGGCCAGCTACCTGCAAATGACAGACATTGTCCAAGCGTGCCACAGCTTCATCAAGGCCGCCCTTGACATCAGCATCCGCTCCGAAATGGCAGACGAACTGGCCGACTTTGAAATGGGAGCCGTCGTCACAGCCGGTGGCGGTGGAGGCGGCGGAGGGGGAGTTGGCATCCCGGGAGCAGGGGGAGTAACCAGAGTGGGCTTAGGAGGAGGTGGGATTGTAGGAATGGCCTCCGAAGCCCTCGCCTCCATCATGTCTGGTCGCAGCACTTCCCCCTGGCTGGCACGCCGAACCAGCCCCGCCAACTCCTCCGGGGACTCTGCCATCGCCAGCTGCCACGAGGGAGGCAGCACGTATGGCAAGGAGGACCAAGAACCCCCCAAGAGCCACGAGAGCCAGGAAGAAACTTGTCATGACTCCCAGCCCGCTTGGCCGCATGACTACAGGCCTGTTAGCGTCAAAGAGGAGCAGGTGTCCCCTGCCTCTTCCTCGCATCCCCGGGACACCCCCATGGAGGCGGCCCAGAGCCAACGGCATCAGGCGCTAGGCGGCCCAAATGCAGGTGGAGATGGATCCTGGCAGCCTATATCAGGATCGGGACGGAGGAAGAACAGGAAGAACAAGGACACAGTCAGACATATAACGCAGCAGGCTGAGAGGAACTGGGAAGGAGAGCGGGAAAGGGAGAGGAACAGGGACAGCAGGCCTGGATCTCCTCTTCCATCCATGCTCGCTGTGGCCGGCTGGAACTACAATGGACAGGATCTCCCAGGTATGACTTGACTTGACCCGGCAGAACAACCGGGTCTCACTTTTCATGTTCCTTTACACAACGTGTTCACGTTTGCATTTTCGTGTCATGACAGGGAACTGTTTTACATTGTGTAGTCAATTAGGATGCTGTTCCGGGTCACAAAGGCGGGTCTTAAGAGCTGCTCAACTGGAACCGCTCTGCTCTTAACTCAACTTAAAATGTATTTTTAAATGTGTGGGAGACAAACCACACCTTCAAAACCTCAGGGTGTGATGAGTTGAAAGAGTGGACACAGGGCAAATACTTGATCCTGTAAATTGGAACCTGAAAAAAATTTCCCAAGACTGACAGTCTGTCAAAGTGCTTCGTCAGGTTGGAATAGGTGCTTCACATCAGGACACATCAGGAAAAAATCTGATTTATTTTGGTGAATTTTATCGAACCTTTTCATGTGATGTGGAAGCTCGAGTCCAAGTCTGCTTCATTATTTAGCAACCTATCTTCCAGATGCTTTTGTTTTGTCTGCCACTTGCCAACCCGCTCTCTGTCTGACAAGTTTCAGTAAGAATCATCCTCAATTAGCTATTACATGTCAAAATGATGTTTCAAACGGCGTGGCTCACGCCATAAACTTTTGAACTTTTGAATGAGCATTTGAGAGGGGTTTGAAGCGCTCATTCCATCTTTTTTAGACTCCGCAAATATGTCGATTGTCATGTTGCTACTGTGAAGAAGTGGTTTCATCACATACTGTGTCTGAGTTCCTAGTTCCAAAGGTTTAGCAGTTTGAAGTTGATGTACACCAAAGAGGGCAGGTATGCAGTAGCTATGTACTTGATTGGCTAGTTAGCAGGATTACACAAACTTGATTTGCCCAATTTCTATTTTCCAACCCAAATAACCCATTCATTTTGGTGTGAATTTTGGAATTTAATTTGTCTTTTAAAAGAAATTCCATTCACAGTTCAGCTTGAGAAAATGTCAGTCATTTTGTGCATGGCATGCAAAGTATGTTGTGTCGCAAACGTTTACTCGCCGAGTATGACCTCCTTTCTTCTTCGGGGTTTGAGATTAGCTTGCTTCCACACAAACGTGTTCGGACTAAGATGGTTATCTCAAATCTTGGAGGTGTGAGGTGAAACGGGGTTAAATGCAGATAGATGATCCAATCCTCTTCTTGCTCTTGTTTATGTAATACAAACACACTCAGTCACCCGCATCAAGGAGCAAAACCTAATCTCACGTTCAAATACATATTTCCATTTTAGGAAACCTCTCTACATTCACAATAGTTAATGAATTTCTTTGCACAAAAACGAATTAATCACAAACACCTGGCTGTGTGTGTGTGTGTGTGTGTGTGTGTGTGCGTATTGGTGGGGGTTTAAGTGCGCTGTGGGCCCAAGGCGTCGATAGTTAGATCATTAAAAGTAAGAGAAGCTAATCCTGGGCGCATTAAGGGAGTTGGCTGTGAAATGGGCACACACGTCGCACAGCTAAAGAAAACAGGATAATTGAATTGACCTGGGTCACTGCACGGATTACCAGTGCGTCCTCACTATCCTAAACTCCACCCCCTCTCTGCGGGATTTAGGGAAGGACCTCTGGAAAGGGCGAGCAGACAGAAAATAGGTAGACATGTTGAAGAGAGTGTTGGGTAAAGCAAAAGAAAATAAAAGTATCGTAGTAGAGGAGGGGATTTTTTTTTTTTTTGTCCTAAGTAAGATCATTCCTCCTTCGTTTCGTCTTGAGATACATATTATCACTTACCAATCAATGACTTATTGGGGGCAGGTTTTAATTTTTACGCTTCCACAGTGATAATTTTACAGTTTACCCCCAGCGAGTCCCAGGGACTCGCTGATCAGAAAAGTATGAGTCCCATTATGCATTTAGAGAGTCCCGAATTTTGAATTCGGAAATGGTCTACTTATTCAATTGCATATGATAATAGCACAAACATATACATACAATTATAAACAAATGCTGCAAAAATTTAAATTCAGTAGCAGGCCTGAGGATTTCGGAAATTCACGGTAACCGTTTTTCGGTTCCATCGGATTACCCAATGGGAAACCACGGTAACTAATTTTGGGTTCCGTAAACGTTCATCATGGGAACCCATTTTTCTATTTTGACTGATATTCATAATCAAGAATTCTGAAACTCAAAAGTATAATGTTTCAAGGGTAAATGTTTGAAAACTATGCATTAACAATGAACATTACATCAGCAGCTTTGTACTCCAGGTTTATTCAAAAAAATAAATGGATCAAAATATGGTGTACTCATATGGCATCATGAATACAGCATACCACAAAATCAGAGTATTTTTTCCAATCTCACACTGCAAAGATTAATTTACTGGTAATCATTTATACAGGTAAGTATTGATGTGGCTTGACATCCTCTTCCCAAGACGATGCATGTGTAATCTACGATCAATTTGACGAAAGAATCTACCACACGTCATCATTAGTTCTACCAACAGTTACATTACCATTACTACACTTTGTGGTGAATGTTTTATTCCTAAAGTTACCATGCTACAACTAGTAAAATATAGAATAACCAATACTGTTTCATCATATTTTTCATCGCGATTAGCCTGTAGATCTAATGACCAACTTGCCTCGTAATTGTGCCTCTCGTCGTATCTCGCTCTCTTGTTCTGTGCATACACCACAGGTGAGTTTAGTGATACGCCCTTCGGACGATTCATACGAAAAATCAGACTGGCATTCCCATTTCTTTAATGGCGTAATTAGTAGACCTTTGTGAGTTTTTTTTGCCGACCATCTCAAACTTTCATCCGCGCGATTCCTCAGTTTGCGGACTAAAATAGCAACCCGCATGCGCACATAACGTTCTCTGTTCCGCCCCCCCAACACCGAAAACAAAATTAGAAGAAACACACACACACCACACCACAAACACACATACAGACACGGTGAAATCGAATTGATCACACAGTAGAGATTTGATCGCGTACAGTCAACTCATGTGCGGTGACTTTTATGGTTAAACGATTTTTCGGCACCGTCAAAATGACGCCACGGAAACGACAAGCAACAGGTAACGATTGTTACCGTGAAATCCTCAGGCCTGCCGTAGTTTTTTTTTTTTTTTTTTTTTGACTGAGAAATTTCCTTGCGTCCCAAAAACGCACATTATTTGGAACTGTGCGTCCCGCGGGAAAATTATGCGTCTAGGACGCGGGACGCAGAGGTAACGAGATGGCTGTTCCAATCTTGTGGGAACACGTTGGGGTTGTTGTTACAGCATGACTGTGAGTGAGTTTGTGATTTTGGTGTGAAAAAAATTTGACTCTCTTGGCTTGATGATGACCTTGATTTTATCAACGTCAAACAAGATTGTGTTGTCCTCATAAATTGTCCCAAAACACTGTAGACAATCGTCATAATTTCTCTGTGTGAGTTTCTGAATACATTTTAGCATACATTCAGTACAGTACAGGAGTACAGGTACAAGTTGCGTTGCTTTCAAGAAGCATTGGTGGTTTGAAAGAATTATTGGACTTAGTGTGATACAATTGTACAAAAATTTGAAATTTTTGGCATTTCTATCGACTTGAAATATGAGCTTAGTGTTTTCTGTGGCCACACTCGTAACTCAAAACACTCAAATCTTCAGTGATCTTTACCCATTGGAATGAATGGAAATTCTCTCTCTCTCTCTCGCTCGCTCTCTCTCTCGTGCATCGTCTCTCTAGCATGCAAAAAAAAAAAGTAACTACAGTGGTACCTCTACTTACGAAATTATTTGGTTCTGGAAGAAATTTTTTAAATAGAAAATGTTGTAAGTAGAAACGCGTTTTCCATATAAATGCCCTAATTCGTTCCAACCCCCCCCCCTCCCCCCCAAAATTCAGACATGAATGTTTCCTAAAGCATAAAAATGCATCAAAATATGTAACAAATACATGTTACAATGAGATCATTGCACAATAAATGAGAGTTGTGCATAATGTGAAAAAAAAATAATCGAGTAAGGAATAAAGATAATGGACATTTAATTTTTAACTGCGTCCTCACAGTTTTTTTGCCCTCTTTAGTTCATGTTCTCTCTCAGAAGTGTTTTTTCCCTGGCGTTTTGTAAAAAACTGATCCAAGGACATTTGCTTTTGTCAGCTTTTAAAAATCCTTCGAAGATGTCTAAGGCAAACATCAGCATAGTGAGCGATCGCCCAATTGGTGAACACTTTTTCTGGGTGATTCACATTTACGAAAATCGGGACGCCTCATATCCCGAGGGGCAAATGATGAGGACGCTGCATAGACACATCTATCTATTTATCTATCTACACTCATAGACACATACGGTAGAAGTCCCTCTTAGCCAATGAGATGCCAGGATGATGCTACATAACAGCCAATGGCAGAGCAGCTATAAGTATGTTGCGTTGAGGAAACTCGGAGCTGCGAGTAGTAGTCCATACTGTATTTTTACCTTTCGTATCTTCAAATTTCTTTTGTAACAAGAGGCAATATTTTCCTGTTGAGACGTTTCGTAACTTGAAAATTTCGTATGAAGAGACGTTCGTGAGTAGAGGTACCACTGTACACAGATGTAATATTTTCTAAAAGGCTTTAATAATACAATATAAACACACTAAATATGAAATAATCTTTGAAACGTATCATATGTTATGAATATACAGGGCCACCACAGCATGGCTCCCGGTGGCCCAACAGACCACCACCCAAACAGGCTTAGTGTCGGACCCCGGACAGTTAGTACATAATTGCCATTGTATGTTGAGTAAGACTCCAGGAAGGTGCTCTCTTTGTGCTCAGGGAGTGTTGAGGGGGAATTTTTTTTCCCTGAACAGGTTTTGTGAGGTCATTACTGTTTGAGGAGCACATAGACCCTTCACTGGGGGGGGTTGATTTGACTGTCAGAGCTTTCTTCTGTTCTGTCATGAGAAGCCAGTGAATACTAAAAGGGAGAAACAAAATCTTCACCGGAACAAAAGTGGTTGTCAGCTTATACTGAGT